TGATATCAGACTTGGACTGGAAGATAAAATGTATATTGAGGAATAAAGTTCCTTCAGGAGTTCCTACTTGATAATCCCCTAATGGATCTGTTCTAGGGATGGTGACTGTCCCCTACTGGTCGGGCAGGGGTACGCCTATGGATTTCATCACCATGTGCCTGGCCATTAAGCCAGACCCTCTCCTTGTCCTCAGGGAATAGAGTGGAGGAAAGAATAATGTAGAGGTCATTCCAGGTCACACCGTAAGATTGAGTTAAATAAAAGGGACATGCATCCTCACGATGCCTTCCACCACAGCCACTTCCCTGCGTGGGTATAAACCACTTATGGTAGAGTCTGTGGGTCCCAGGACTTGAGCAGAACAAGAGCAAGGAGTAGGGGGGCTGGGAAGAGGACAGAGGGCAGGTTGAGGATTAGGCCGAGGGAGTTCCAGTTGGAGAGACCCGTATGGAGCAGGGCTGAGACTGCAAAGATGGGATCTGAGGTTTCAATTTGGTCCAGAGAAGAGGGGGAGGAGGAGGGGGAAGATCTAGAGTGTAGCAGGAAGATTTGAGCAGGATTACTGCTCCTACAGAGTGAGAGAGGAGAATGGAGGGTAAAAAGGCTTGGACATAGGGAATCTCAGACCATTTTCCATTGCAGTGGCAGAAATTGTAGTGAGAACTAGTGTTTTGAGAAGAGGAGTAGACTGAGAGTTTCCTGTGTTCCTGGAAAGAGTAGGGTCACATGGGGCCAATTCTACTCAATTCTAGGCATCCCTAGAATGAGAAAATGGCACAGGAGTGATGAGAGCATGTAAGCATGAGTGACAAGTTGGAACAGGTATCCCTGTGTCCAACAACGGCCCTAGGGGCCGAGTCCTCCGGCTTACCAGTAGGACTTCTGAGTTGAGATGAATTGATAAACAAGAGCGAAAGAGGTCGAGAAAAGCCTCTGGCTGAATGAGAGGGACAGGGAAACAAGAATGAGCTTGTGAGCTCCCACTCACCAGGAACTGGATATCTCAGGCTGTAGATTTTGGAGGTCGGCAAGGAAGACCTGAGTCCCAGTCTGGTGTCTCTCTCTCAGCTTGGTTCAGGAGGGTCTGGGTGGACAATTACCTTACCTTGGCCAAACTAGAATGCTCTGCCTACACTCCAGGATCAGAGAAAAGTTGAGAGAGACCCCTGCATGGCTCAGGACTTCTCTCAGCCACCTCGTCAGAGACAAGGGAGGTTACTGGCTCTGAGGGACTCTTTCATCAACTAGGGAGATTTGCTTCTCGCAATTTAGTCAAAGATTCACGGAAACCTTACCAGTGACACAGAAACTCAGAGGAAGGCAGGATTCAGGAGTTAGCCCAGGACTAGCTGCTGCTGCCTACTGCTTCCCGAGTTGCAAGTCTTGCCTCCTAAGGACCTGGAGGTCGTGTCCACCCAGTGTGCCCTCCCGGGTTTCGGCACCAAATGTTAGGTCTGGAGCTTAGACAGAGACACACCAAGCCTCATGTGCAACAAAATGATGTTTGTTTTGAGCATCTTGATGCAGATGAGTGGAGGCAAAAAGCATCCACCCCAAGGAAGGGGAAAGCCTTGTGTTTCATAGAGGGTTTCTCAGGGGGAGTTAGTACCTAGGCCAGAACAGCTGCTGTGGTAAAAATATTTTAAACAATCAATTTCTGGGACCCGGGCATCAGTCTCACCCTGTAGAGATAAGGGAGAGGGTAGCTTCATCCTTATTGGGGGGATAGGAATGCTGGCTGCAGCTGTCTGTTAGATCCACAAAGTCTAGGGACTCTCCAGACTCCCGCAGCTATTGTTTTACAAACCTTAGTTTTCTATTAACCACATTCTGTCCTATACATACTTTCTGGGTTCCTACCTGGAACAAACCTAACACCTGCCATTTGCCACAGTGTGATTTCCAAAATTTTCATTCTGTGGATGATGTTCTGTTGGCTGCCATAAGCATCTGTCTAAATGCTCTTGTCTAGGATGGTGACATCTCTCTGCCAGTAAGGGGTAGCTGATAAGACTCAAAAAAAAAATCAGAGTCCTACTTTCCAATTAAGGCTTAGTGGAAGCATGTGGGCAGATTAGCATTGCCCAATTCTTCCATCAATCAAGGAAAACTTAAAGATATTTCCATTTGGAGGCTCTGGCAAAGGGATTCAGCCTCCACCTAGAGGTATTCCTTGGTGTTTTAG